TATATACACACACGTTGCCTGTGCAATCAACATAGAAGCAAGGAACCAACTTTATACTGGACATATGGATTCATAATCAAGTGTGCCATTTTTGAGTGTAGTTCTAAGCAGTGTTCGCAAAAATCGGCCGATCTAACCGGTAACCGCCCGGTTAGATCAGAACTTGAAACAAGTCCTCCATTATTCAACTCAATAACCAGTACACTATTTTCTTTTAAGCGTTTTTGCGTTTTTTCTTTCAAGTTATTCGTTGATTCAAAAAATTACTCCCCATCGGAATCAAACTTGAAACAAGTCCTCAATTACTCAACCCAATAACCAATACACTATTTACTGCTTAGTTAACAAAAAGAAGGGCCTTAATGTTTTCTTCATTTTCTTTTAAAAAAGAGAGTTGGTCAAGTCAAATTTTTTAACACTATTTTAATTTCGTTACACTATAGTAAAGATTAAATTTTTTTTGGTTAATGATACTTTTATATTTTCCCATTTTTCTCAAATTTTTTTAAAAATACCCCTAGGCACAAATTGATTCGTTAAAATCCATTTTTTTTCATTAATTTCCAACTTCATTTGAGTGTGTTATGTTTTAATCACATTCTTTATATACTTTTCATATTTTAATAGAAATTTTTTTTTATCTTTTTTATTTTTTTAAGACTTTTTTGATCGTACGGGTCTTGCCTGGTTAGAGCGGTTGAATTGGCCGGTTTACAGGTTAGGCCGGTTTACCAGTTAGGCCGATCAAATTGCTTCCGGCCTCATGTTCGGTTAACCTTTCCGGTTCGATTTTGTGAATACTGGTTCTAAGCCATGATTACGACTGGAGCGGTTCTTTTGGAGGTCTTTCTTTTTTTCTTGGGAAAATTTCGTACATAACCTTGATTCCTCGTCTTATTTCATGGTAGACCCTCTTTCTATTTTTCTTTCAAGCGGCATAAAATTTTTTTTAAAGATTTCACCGTACCCCCTCATCTCTTATCTTCTTCATTTATTCACTTTTGATCATAAAAATTAACCCTAACAAACTTTTTTATACCATTTCCACCCAATGTGAGAGGAGATAGGAAGCCCTTAATATGGCATTGAGGGGCTGAAAAGACAAAAAATATAATAAAAAAATATTTTTGAAACATTTTTGAGTTAAAAGATATAATAGGGTAGGTTAAAAAACATTTTAGGTTAAAAAAGTTTTTGAAACGTTTTTTGAAACATTTTAGGTTAAAAAAGTTTTTGAAACTTTTTTTGAAACATTTTTTTAGATTGAAATGATATAAACAAGTTTGTTGAGACGAATTTTTACGGTCAAAAGTGAATAAATGAGGGAGATAAGAGATGAAGGGGTATGGTGAAATCTTTAGAGATTTTTTTATGCCACATGAAAGATAAATAAAAAGAGAGTCTATATAAAATAAGATAGGGAATTAGAGTTCTATACGAAATTTTTCCTTTTTTATTTTCCTTTTCTTGAACACATTCAAACCACTCAAATGTGATGCTTCTTAGTGAGGTTGGAGGCTGTGCTTGATACAGCTGTGGTGCACATCTTGCTTTCAGAAGTAAGCCGTGTGAGATGTAATGCTATCCTTTATTTTCTTTTTTCTTTTTTAGTGATAATATGGTATTTGAGCCTGGCATCATATTGCTAAAGCCATTACGTCCCAACCATTGCACAAAGACGTTCGATCCATGTGTCCTCCTATTTGTGGTTTTGATATTACTAGCAGTAGACAATTTTCTAATATGTAGGATATTGGTTAATCCTCTAATATGTAGGATATTGGTTAATCCGCAATCATAGACGATTAGACCAGACAGGATGGTCCAATAGGTCGGATTGCTAAGCGATGCCTTAGGTGGTCTAGTCTAGAGTAAAAATAGAGTTGAAAATATGTCAAAATAATTGTTTGATCAGTTTTGATTGGTCAGACGGGCTTGTTTTGACTGATTAGACTTATTAAACACAATTGATCAACTTTTTTGTAATATAATTATTATTGTTATTTTAATATTTTTTTAAATTTAGTCTATCCAGTTCTACTTTTGATTAGACCAGTTTTAACTGGATCAAATCCCTCAATAGTTGAGTTACTAATATGATAATGCTGATTAAGACTTTGTCGATTTTAACAGGTTGAACTCATTCCGCAAACTAAACTAGATGAAGGCTAAAATATTACAGTATGCGTGACAAGTTCTAGGAGAGGGCTTTGGAAGATCAATTTTAAGAGCACTTGAGTCTTTTATTAATTATTTTGAAAATCATGCATTTAAAATACTTAGGAGAAAACCAAGACTTGTTGAAAATGTGATTCACATTTCACCACAAGTCCGGATTTTTGGTACACCAGTCGACATACAGTATATGCTTCACGCAACAAGGTAAATCTGCATTTAAAAAATCATTAATTGTGCCCTCTACCAATGCCGCAAGGTTTTCTAATTACTTCCCCATTGACAATTTTTGAGAATGGGTTGGGTCTTGGTGGTGGTACCGTCCAGTCCCATAATGAAATCTCATACTCCAATCTCACCAAAAGGTAGGAGCTCAAATCCCCCTAACTTACCCTCTGCAATCCGTTACGTCTTAGGTTCAATTTCTATCAAGTGTAACGACTCTATTATTACCAAAAGCGTAGTGACCCAAATCCTCAACGACTTACACTGTACAATACTGTGTCCTAGGGACCCAAATCCCCAATGAACTTACCCTCTGCAACACTGTATCCTAGGCTCAATTTTGACCTTGACTTAGCAAAAAGAAAGACAAAAAAAAAGAGAGCCACTGACTCAGCAAAAAGAAAGAAAAAGAAAAAGAAAAAGAGAAGAAAAAAGTGCTTCTTTGAGTGAGAGAGGCCCAAAACTATGCTTGCTACTGTTGAGGAAATGATGTCTTAACTCTATATCTAGAAGAATTTAATGCAAAACACTTTTCAACTATTAAGCATGGGAAAAGTTTATATAAGGTTGCAACTGTAAAATGTAGAACTACGGATGCACCTAAAAAA